GAGCCGGACAAAATATACTCGCCGTCGTCGCGCGAGCGGATAGTTTCGTCGTCGCTGCGCCCCAGCCAGCATGATTCTTTTATTTTAGTTTCGGTCTTGTTCCTGGACACGGGCGCACTCAATTTGACCTTCCATCTCCGCCGCCCTTCTAGCGTCTATTTTCACCCGTTTCGGACGGTAGACGAGGCAAGAGAGCGAAGAAAGAGAAATAGCAAGAGAGCTCTCGGCCGAGGAACGGGGACCAGACAGGGGTGGACAGAGAAACGACTGAAGCTTGAGAGAGGAGCAGGGAAAGTAGAAGAGTTACTACTCTATAGCAGTGGACGAGGTGGCCACATATGGCTAGCGATGGACTCGACACTCTCGCGCGTGTGATAAAAACACTCACGTCATACAGTAATCGAATATTCAAACGAATACCGCCCTCCGGCTGGAATTTCACTCATGGTCCGATAAATCTGATAGTTTGCAACGCGCGAGTACACGTGTAAAGTTTATATGTAAAGAAATATTAACGAGATGAGAATGCTCTTATAAGAATAAGGACGTGTCAAAATTATCGCCAGATCTAATACATAAACCGCCGTGGAATAATGGTGTAAAGTATACGAGTTTTACGTGATCGTGAAGCGAGAAAAGGAAGAGAGAGAGAGAGAGAGAGAGATATCGATTTCGCCCCATCGCTACGAACAGTTCGCCCACCCCCGCGTGGAAAACGTGGGATTGCAGAAGTTTGGTGCTCGTCCAAGAGATGACTATCCTAACTCTCTTCGGGTAGCTCGTCTTATCTTATCGCGCCGCCGATAGATAAGCACTCTCGATAAAGCCCGGCGAAGAAATGACGGCGCGATTCGCGTGGATGCAGCCGCCACTCCTTAATTAAGTTCGGACAGTCGTTTATTCGGTTTATCGTCTTGTTTGCCGTACCCAGGACTTCCCGGCGCGATTACGCGTTCGTGTCGGCGGACGCAGCGTCATCGCGACAGAAAACGCATCGTCAACGCTCGCGTACTACAATAACATATTTCTCGTGACGAAATTATTTCCATGCCGTTACTGCCGAGATTCACCACCGGTGATTTAAGCAAGCCGATTTTACGCGAGAAAAATTATTTTCGAAAAATCAAGATGAACTACAAATTATGAAAAAAAAAAAAATTGTCCTGGTGCTAGACGGTAATGCGATATCTTAGATTTTATTTGTTGCTCGATTCACAGCTGATTACTTCCGTATGATAAGAGTACCCACGACAAGGAGATGTCACGCGGATCAGTACCGAGGGTCCAACACTCTAAAGGTCGGACTTTACGTGACAGTTTGCTAAATTACGCAGATTACGCGGTATCACAGCAGTCTTACGTCCGCGCCAACCGTGACGAATCCCTTTCGCAAATTTGAGCCGCAGCGATAGCGAGGACAAATTATGCGCATTACGAAAAGTGTCCCCGCAAGAACAGTAGCGGTAGAGCCGACGGGCGACGGGTTGCGGGGGATGAAACGTCGGCACGGGAGCCGCGCCGCGGATGAAAGATGGGCCCATTGTGCCATCGTAAATACAGGGAAGCGGCCCGTCCGAAATAAGGGCATATTTCAGCTTCTGTCCGGCAATCACCGCTGCTTCTCGGCTTCACGGTCGTGCAGCTACGAATATGGGTGCGGTAGTGAAGATGGCCAGTGAGGAGGCCAGGGAGGACGCGGCGAGAGGGGCCGGGGGGGAGGGAGGGGGACAGCGAGTCGACGGGAAGGACGGGTCCGAGCGAAAAGGAGCGGGAAGGCGAGAGCGGGGGATCCCAGGGAGGAAGAGATCCCATTTCGTATTCCTCGGGCATCCCTCTTGATCTCCCCGCATTTTTATTGCACTTGCCGCCGGTAAGAATATGTTTTATTTATATTTCATATTTTTCCCTTTCTCTCTCTTCCCTCGCTACGAGTTGCCGCACGGCCAGAGGACGGACGTGGCCCACTGTGTCGTGGATTCACACGAGCTGACCACGAAATATGAAGTCGAGATACGAAATCCCGCGCGTGTCCCCGGAGAAACAACCCGAACGCGTTGTATAGCCCGTCGTAACTTCCCCTAGTTCACTCTTATTTTCGAACGAAAAGCGGGGTCGCCCGTTAGCCGGGGTGGTGAAAATATTTTGGCAACGTCCCCGCGGAAAGTATTTATGTGCGTTCGTTGCGGCGACGGTGGATCCATTACTTCGCAGGGCTTTATTGGAATACCGCATTAATAGAATTCCCTACCCTCTAAAAGTTTGCGAACGATTGAATCGGACACGATGACTTCGAAAGTTTGCAGTGCAAGAGAATGTGGTGTCAATTTCTGAGATTTTGTCGCGAGTATTAGAGAAAAAAGGGATTGCGGCAGTCGCGAAGAGGATAGATAGATCTAAAGGGTTCGACGAATCTTGCTTTTAAAGTCCGAATTTAATTTACTGTCGTCTGATTGAGGCGGAGGGTGTTACACGCAATTTGCTACGTATCGCCGTGATAACTTGGCGAACCCTTCGGCGTGTTTTATGGGTATCACATTGAGCATGCATAACTCACGGTCCAGTGCGTAAATGTTCGTACAACGAGAACTTTCTCCGACCAAGGATTCGTGAAACGTCGCAAAACAAAACGACGAAACGCGGTTTCTTCAATTTATAATCAGGCGGCGCGTTAATACGCCGCGACGCCAAATATACAAACATAATAATTTATATAGGAGATTTGATTATTATATGTATATATCGAATATTGTAATGTATAATATCGCATAATATTTTAATATTGTATTCTGGAGCTAATAAATCGACAAGCTAATCACTGACGACTAAAATTTTAACTATTGTACATATGAAAATTATTTGATCCTCTGTCTTAATTAAAAACTCAATGTCTCACCAATTATTTCATTTGAAAATAATTATGAAAAATCTAATATTCTATTATTTATTATCATCAGGAATAATCAATATTTTTGATATCGGATATATATTTGATATCATTTGTTAGTCAACAATTTTTGAAATTTTCAATCCAAATTCCCAATTCCTTCTAAGATCCGGAATATATTATTAAAATATTATATTTGAAATACGAGTATTAAATTATAAACAGCAGGGCATATCTGCCGCTTATTTTTTTCGTCAGAAGTCAATGCGATTTATGTCTACTCATGTACTACTGATAGTATTCAAGTTGTAAGATCTCACTCACAATTATACATTAAAATCCCGCGACGTCCAGATTGCTGCCAAAACTCAGCCTCTGCATCCAAAACTGCATCCATCCGGCATCCAACCTTCTCGCCGTCCAGCCTCCATAGCGTCCAATTGTGGTTCCACACTGAATGTACTTCATTTTTTCATTTCACTCGCGATTTTTTAGATAATATATAACGATTTACGATTAACGTACGATAAATTCCTTCAGTTCGAAACATTCGCAAATCGCAAAACGCGTGTTAAAAAAATTATCAACCGTAAAGATTGGCACGGTATTATCGAAAAATAAAAAAAAAACATATTTCGTTTCGCGGGCGATAATTAATACTTTTCGGAAACCATGATTCGCGTTTGAAGTGAAAATTCTAATTTTTACGACAGACAATAAATATACCAGATTCAGCAATCGTTTTATCGAGTTTATTCGTGGTCACAATGTCACTTCAATACGCACTCGCAGCACGAATCAAACGTAGAAAATCGATGATGAAAAACCTATGAAATTAAAGCGAAGTAAACGCGACGCGAAATCTGTCCACGCGGAACGTAGGCGAGATAATTGCGATTCGCGTGAAATTTTCACGCACGCAATTGTACGAAGACTGCTCTGCGACATTGTGCAGAGATTAATTCGCAATATTTTTGCAAAGACTACTCCGTAATATCTCTGCGAAGATTGTTTCGCAATACTTTAGCGAAGACCACTCCGCAATATCTATGCGAAGTACATTTTCGGAATATTCCCGTAAATTTAATTGAATGAAGACCGTTCTTTAACGAAGACCGTTATTTTCTAGAAACATAATCGCGCTCGAACGTAAATATAAGAAGTCACGACCATTGAAAAATCTATAAAGGTGTACGCGAACAAAATATAAATATACTTGAAATTTTCGTTTCTGTTACGAACATAGATCCGAGACGCGTAAATAAACAAGCAAAAACTGTACACATCTTCGACTTATATTTCACTTTCGACGGGAAGATAATTATACCCGATAATACTATACGTATCACGCGCGAAATATTCTTTATAAAGAATTGAGAACTAAAGATCTTGATTTAAAGATAATGAATCAATTTGTCTAAATTACTTCGCGAGCAAAATAATTATTCGATGTATAAAATTATTACGTTATATAATTCGTGATATTCCACGGAAGTTTATGCGATATTGAATTAAATTTACCAAAGTTCATCTTTATTTATGTGAAATGTAATCGCGACGGATAGATATATCACGTAATCGCATTTGTAAAAAATCAACGATTGTAATAATGAAAAATCTTATAAAATTGCGAGTAAAGTACTCGCAATTTTTACATACAAGCACGCAATGTTAATATACACAATATACTGCTTACTATAAATATGGCATAATATTAAATGAAAGGCTTTGTGTAATCGAATGATTGCAACTGTCTGACTCAAATATAATAAGAACTAAATAATAAGAACTGAAGCATTTCTATAAATATGCTTATTCAAATTCAAGAGGAGATATTATTCAGGAAGAAGTATGTTTTTCAAATATCAATGATATCAAATCAACTTGAGACATGTAGTAAATATTTATAATTTAAAATATTTAAGGAAACAAATTCCTAATCTCAAACAGTATATTGTATTTAAAGATATATATGTATACTCACCCAATTCAAACCCAACATGCAAATTTATAAACAAAATAAATCGCATTGACTCCCACGAAATTCTTATAACTGCACATCACTTAAAATCTTTCTGTTTATTATCTTTATTTTTGTAATTGTTTTTTGACTCACCAGTTTAGGGTCGACCACAAACTGCTACATATAAATCTGAAATAAATAATATAATTTTGCTGATTAGATTCAAAAATTCGACTTAACGAAGAAAATACAAATAGATCATTAGTTTTTTGTGATTAATTGCGTGTAATTTAATAATTCTTATTCCGATATTATTATCTTTTAAATTTTGACAAAGTTGAATAGAAGGGTCTGGACGTCTAAATCTAACCTATACTAAACCTACCTTCGAGTCGACCCTGAGCCTTGCCCGAGCCGGATCCTCCGGTGCTGCTTCTGCATTCGCTGTTACTGTGTCCTCTGCACCTGCATCTGCTATGCTGCTGCTATTATGAACCTATCAAATTCAAAATAAAGAATAGATATTCTAATTAGTTACAATAGTAAAAAGGTTACGAGTTACGGTATAAACGAACTCGCCGGCTGTACCTCCTTCTTCAGTCTAATACTAATGATACGTGAAATATGTGATGATTACCTTCGCTATTTCGTGTTACTGTCACTGTTCACGATGATTCCAGGATAATAATCGTATGCACGAAGTATTCTAGTTTGCCTCCGAGACGTTTGGATCAACTTGGAAAAGTCTGGAATAGCGGACAACGCCGCGCGATGTGTCCGTTCTCGCGCCTGAGATTGTTATAACCTATGATTGAGACCCAAACATACATTCGTGACGTATGTTGTTGCCGGCGTGATCCGTCGCGCGCGCCAAGGTCGATTATGTTTTGACGCGCCGAGTCACTCTTAACTAGGCACTTACACAGCGTTTTAAGTAAAAAAAATATGCTCGTATTATATCATAAAATCGATGTTATACACTATGTTATAGTATTTCAGTCTTCAGCACGCGTTTGTCCCCACATTTCTATACATCGCACAACTGCTTATTACAATCTATATAATAATCGGAATTGTCGTTATAAGTTTTATTTTAACAATCAGCAACGCATAAGTTTGCGATGTAATTACATGTTGCAGATATTCTATTGAAAATATTGGAAAGGACAATGCGTTAACGGTGTTGATTCGGGTTGAGTTAATAAAGTCGAGAAAATTCTGATACGAAAATATCGAGGTTGAGTTTCAATTCCGCAAGACAAATCTTTTATTCTTCAAATAAGTACATCGGGATTAATAATTCTCCTTAAATGGGTCAACCCATTAATTATTCGAATTATTTTCTAACCAAACATTATCGATAGTATTCATAGATATATGCTCGATCTTATATTTATATCATGTGGATACTCTTTTATCAACTACATAATGTTTTAAAATGAACTTATGACGATCATAAATATAAGTTCGGGCTATCAATATCGATCTATATTTATTATACTAACACTTACACGCAAAGAAGCAACACCTGCTGGTCTGCGGAAACAAATGCCTGTTGAGTCACGAAAATTCATGATGGACGACAAATTCGCGATTCGAGCGCACGAAATCTGTTAGATGTCACTAGCAGCTTCAGTTCAGTTGGTTATAATTCGAAAATTATTACGACCGTGACATTTTTGTGTTAAAGTTCTCCAATCAAGCACTTTTAAATGCATTATTAAAGATATTGCACGGTATTAGCGAGATATTCTGCGTATTTAGAATTTATTATTCTTGTTTGAATATTGTACATTTATAGAACATGAGGAAAATATCTCAAGATATTTCGCATTAAACGCTGTTTAGTAGTGCAGACGCGTTGTCAAGAATGCGATATCTTCTCCTCCTTGACAAATGTTCTTATCTCAACCTTACTCAACTCTTATCTTACACTACCGTGATTGTTAAGATACCCATCATAACCGTGTGAAGTGCAAGAAGTCGGTGGAATTGTTTAGTACGGCGCACGTGAGTTGAAAGTGCTACGAGTGAGTAATTTCACGACGCGTACGTGACGGAGTCGCTGATATCCTGTTCACGCTCTTGATACACATGCGGTTCGTGCACAAAGTGCACGTGCGTGGGAATTTTGGATAATTTGATAAGGATTCACGTGGATGTGAGGATTTTCTCTAAAAACAAAGCCGACCTTCTTTATTCTGCTCGCACGTACGTCTGTTGTGATCTTTAATCCTGCCTCTCTTTTGATGGCCGCTCCTAAAATTTGAAAAACGTATAAAGAGTTTAGAAAGTTTCTGATATTTTAAGGGCTGCGAGAACATATTTTTAAATGTAAATTTCGTTACTTCGAACGCCTCGAGCATGTACATTTTTCAAGAAAATAATTATTTTAAACAAATATTCTCTGAAGGCTTTTGTTATTGCGCACATTTATACACATAAATAACATCCTTCGTTCAGGTATTTCATTACAGTAAATGAATAAAGTGATACGTATACCATCAAATGCTCGCACATATTCATAAAATATAATATGAAGCAAACGCATGCGTTGAGTTATTAAAGACGTGTTCGAATCGGTCACATGGTTTCGCTGCCCGCGCTACTTAGTTTTAACAACTGGTAGCGAGACTTTCTGACAAGAAAGAAACTTTCGCGCGATGGATTGATGTGTAGTGATTCATTGCAAGCAGTAGTGAAAAATTGTTATCATTACTTATCCGAGTGCGGTATTATTTTATCGTGTAGAGAAGATAAAAGTAAGGAATACTATAAAAATTTGTTTGCGTGCGCACATACCAATATAATCATACGTGTTATGTTCCACAGGTGTCAACTGATGATTGTGATTTGCGTTATTATTGCTATTATAGGATCGTTTATTTACACGTTGATTAAAATTAGCATCAACGAGTGGCTAGTAGATTCAAGGTAAGCATGGATAAACATTATGCACTTTGTAGGTTATAGGTTATAGGTTAGTTTCTCAATATGAGTGTTAACCTAAGAGTACAGTTTTCTTAATTAGTACAGAAGATCCTATATTTTAAACAGTTTCATGTTATTGAAATGTTTGTTCAATAAAATAGTAAATTCTATTTATTGTCATTGTGTGTATTCTATTTTAGCATGAAGCGGTTATCTTTGAAGAGAAGTCGTTATGAATATGAAACAAGTCAAGAGATAGAGATATCGGATGATGACAGTTTTGATGCATCTAGTTTAAGAAAAAATACAGAATATAATGCATGTACAAGCAAACTGGATTATAACACAATTAATGTCCCAAATAGCTTGACAGATATTTCAAATTACGAACCTAACATTCATATATCTGGTTCAAACTTTGTACATGATGTGTCAAATAATTCAAGCATTGACGATGATGTTCATGTCATAGAAGAAATTCCTACTACTTCTGATGGGAAATCATCAATGTTTAATTGGAATAAAAATATGAGAGGCATGCCACAATATGAAAACGCTTCTAAAAGCAATACCTTGTTTGATTCAAGATTCATAAAAAAGATGCCTATGGAATCATGTAATAAAAAACAACATTTGACATCATGTAATAAATCATGTAATAAAAAACAACAAGTAACAAGTAACTTAACTGACTCAAATGATGAATATGATTGGAACAATACAAAGAGAGAAGATTCACCACCTAAAGTCACAATACATTATGATGAAATGATCGCTGGTGTCAAAGTTAAATTTCCAATCAAGCCATATCTGTGTCAAAAAGCTGTAATGAATAACGTTAGTATGATAATTGTGTAATTAATATTTGTTTTTTCTATCATTTCTTCTGTTTGATTTCTAATCATATTGGAAATTGTGTGTACAGCTTATCAGAGGATGCATTAAGGAGGAGAATTGTCTTATAGAAAGTCCAACTGGTAGTGGCAAGACCTTGGCACTTCTTTGTGGATCTTTAGCATGGCAAGAGCAGTATAGTGGTGAGTCTGTGATGCATGTTGCATGTTATAGCAATAATTATGAAATCAAAATTTAGCTTATTGATAATGACAAAGTTAAAAAGTATCCGTAAGTTTTCAATCGTTCACCCCAAATTACGTCAAACAGAAAATCTATCTGTGTATTTTTTTATATATGGTTAAATGACGCATGCTTTCACGCGATCTATCATATGATATTCATTAATTTCTTACCAATCGTGCTCGTGCAGCGCTTTCTGTGCCGCGATTATGTCTCTTTCTAAGATTTATTGCAGAACTTTGCGAAAATCTCGTTTCCTCGTCGTGCTGCTCTCGTGACAGCGGGTCGTTAATGTCACCTGTCCGACTTTTGTCTCGCCATACACATACATACATACATACATATATATATATATACACATAAATACATACATACATATACACACATATATATGTACATGTATATATATGTATATATATATATATATGTATATGTATATATGCATATGTATATATGTGTGTGTGTGTGTGTGTGTGTGTGCATACACTTTTGTGTCGTATCCGTCAGATTTTTTACCGTCGTGCGAATTTTGGAAATTATTAGAAAGACTCAGCTCCTACCGCGCTTGTCTCTCTGTTGCCTCGCGGCGGAGTATCGTTCTTATTAAAGTTTCCCGACGAGTTCGTCGACATTTTACTTACCTCGTCAGAACTTTAAAAGTCTTCCGGATAATTTCTCACCGTGTCATCGCCGATATCGGGTGTTCGTTGCGTTTGTTCGTGCGTCTACAAATTAAACACACCATTTATCTTATAGTTTATGTTATCGTCATATTTTTTTGTTACCATTATAGCTTTACGATAAAATTCGTTTGAAAAGGAAACTCCATAAATGAGAGTTCGCCAACAGGCGTGTGAGAATGCGCATATCGAAATATCGCATTCTTGTTTTGTACGGCAAATTTATGCATCGCGTTTTGCGTTTAACCCGCTAACGCGGGCGAAGTCAAATATCATTTCGCATTTATATGATTTTTTCAGTGAAAGGCCGCAAAAATTAATGCGGCTTGCGAATCGTAAATATGTATTGCGCGATTAATTCTCACACATGCGTGCCGCGTTGCGCCGGGCGATGGTGAGTTCGATCGTGTTTCGTTTTATACGAGAAAGACGCGCAGTGGAGGCGCGGGCCCTCGTTTCCTCCTCATCGAGAAAGCCGTTCCGATCGTTAGCCTTTCTTGGCTACGATATTAATTTAAATTATTCAACCGTTTATACACCGCCGTAATAAGCCTTAGTATGGCCCGAAGTCGCCGGTAATTTCGACTTTGCACGCGTGCATGCAGCTAATTGTTTGAGATTCGTGCAATTTCTAAACAATTAGATTTGCCTTCGCAATGCGCGTCTCGTCCCGTTCATGCTCGTGCCAGCCTACGAGAAACGGTGGGACGGCCGGATATAATCGCTTTTCATTGGGACAACGTGACGAGAATATCATTTTGCTCGATGCCATGTTCGATTTACCGCGTTTACGCATCTGTATTATGCATGATATTTGACATTAGCGTTCATTGATGTTTGCGCTACTCGTTTTATAAAAATGCATGCGAATATTTAGTGCGGTATTCCGCTAAATCTTAATTATTGATTCGAATCTGGCTATAAAGCTAACAGTGCTTTTTTTGCTGCTACACCCGAGAAGTTACAAGTGAAATATACTCACCGCGAGTTAAAAATTTATTGGCTAAAATTAAGAGCTTCAACATTAGTTGCTTCTATGCCAGTGAAATAGTATTGCTACATTAGTTTAGCCCCTCTCTTGCTGATCCTTTTTTCTTGCCAATTGCTTTTTTCACACTAAAATGCATCGCACTTTGGTACTTTGAGGTACTTGCGACAAATTTTATTGCGTGACGGCCGTGACGTGGTTTTTTACGAGAATTTTCTCATTCGGTACTGATCATGCGTTTTTCGCTAGGATATGATTGTGTTTTGCGATGCGCGTTCTATATTACTTCTCATCAATGACATTGCTTATCCCGTCGAAAAGTTTCGACGGGAGACGTGTTTTCGCGGCTATTGACTTCCAAGTTCTCTCCGAAGGAGACTGAATTAGCCGGGATCGCTCGTGAAATAAGTGGGGTAGTTTGGTATCGTACGATGCCATCTTGATATTCCGCCGGGAAACCGTGGCGAATGTCGACAACGTCGGGGGATAATTGTGTCGCGGTAACGCAATACGAAAACCATGTTTATTGCTCACCGGGGAAGCTGCTTTTCGGATTTAAATAATCAAGATCGGGGAATACGTATACGTACATTTTTCCTTCCCTTTTTACGCTCAACTCATACATAATAGAATATTATCTGGCTGCGCAGCGGCGTCAAGTCTGGCAAGACACTAGTCGGTCGACACTCTCCAACATATTCTTCGACATTCGACTCGGAGAAGACGTCGCTTCGAGTGCATCACGACGGTGAGATCGAAACGTTGCGCGAGTATTCGACCAGGCAAACGATCGCGTGCCATTTCGAGCTGCACGTGCGGCGAATTAAATGTTCCGCGATGTTAACGTCAAATTTGCGTGAGCAACGTCGGGTCTGCCGGCTGCCGGCGAGGACGACATAGGACGGGCAGGACGCTGTTTCAGGAATATGCCGGAAAGGACAGCACGAACCGTCGTCGCCTTCCGGAATTACGGATGGGTCCTCCCGACTCCATCCTCGCCGTGACATCGCGTTGTGCGAGCCGGGAATTATCGGACACGCGAGACCTGCGTTTCTTTGCGACGACACTTTCTCGAAGGGATTGACGCGACTCTGGTGTCCGGTGGAACAATTTGCGGAAACATACCGCTTAAATGATAACAAACAACGCAATTACCGCAATAGCAACAATAACAAACAAAGCGATACGATACTACGGTTCGCTATAAGAGCGAGTTCGTCGCAAGAGCAAAGTGCATTAATATGCAATGCACTATAAGCTGGAAGAATACAAAGAATACGGAAGTACGGGAAGTACGGTTCTAATTTTAATTCGGTCTATAAGAAGTTACGTGAACCTACAGCAGAATGCGAAGAAGTCTTGCTTCTCTTTCAGCAAACGCGTAAATAAAGATCGCGCACTTTACATAGTGCGCTCCGAGTAAAATACACGTTCGGTGACGTATATCGCTCGGGTAGACAACCGTCTATTATTAACAATCCGTTCCAGGCAGGTCGATCTATATTCCTAATTAGTCAAATTAGAATGAAATGACTCGATGGGGATTAGTCATGATACCGATTTTCGTTGTGCGGCGGGTTGTACGTAGGTGCGCCCCGCACGACATCCTGCTTTCCCAGTTATAATTTGCTTTATGCTTTAAACCTGGCGCTGTCACGCTCCGCCGGAGGTCGAGTGGTACTGCTAGCCGCCAAACTGTAAACTTAGCCCGTTCCTCGTTGGAGAGTCGCATAAATTAGGTCCTTGAAAGGGAATAGAGGATTTTCTGGCCTCGCGGTTTAATCGATATCGCGTCGCCGTCGACGACGATGATTCCCTCTTTATTTATTTGTTTATCATCCCGCGGCCAAAGGTATACTTAATTGCTCCAACCAAGGACGTAGACGGGCACTGAACAAGACGCGTGTATTCTGAAATGCATGTACAAAACACCCCGAAATAGTCATGAGTCCAGCGTAAGTCGACGCGTCAGTCGTCATTCTCGCGGATTCTCGCTGTTTGATATCGCACTCTTCGAGGCGTCGGGCACAAACGAGACTTGCGGCCAATCGCGCAGCCACTTTGTTCAACGGGCTGCATGCGACTCACGGCATGGCCGCGTGTTCGACATGCCAGCCATAGCAGCCGATTAGTCTGACGCAACATTCAGCGGAGAATTCGAAAAACTTAAATCGTTCGCAGAAAGGAGGAGCGTGATGCGCCGCGGCGCGGTGGCGGGACATCGAGAGGGTCGGACGAATAAATTTCGAAAGTTTATCGCGGAATCGCATGCCGGCTAATGTCACTTTATTACCAGCAGAAGACGACGGGTAACGTGGAGACAGTCTCGTATCCGGGAGTCGGGGCGACAGGGGCGAGAGGGTAGGAAGGATAAGTTCGAAATAACCGACAGCGACCAGACCCATTGTGCGGCAGGAAACTTGGGAAGTCATAATAATTATCGGCGAACGCGGAATTATATATTGTGTCCTCGTGGCAGCCTGCTGTCGTCGTCGTCGTCGTCGTCGTCGTCGTCGTCGTCGTCGCGAATCGTCTTTGCGCCTCAGCATGCAAACTCCACGGAATATGCAGCTATGTGCCCTGTGACGTTCTGACATTAATAATGCACCGAGGATCCGCCTTTTATGCCGGGGTACCAACCGCGGTACCATCTCCGAGAACTCTTCCTAGAAGGGGCCTCCGCCGGCGGTACCGTTTCGTTTTTGCGCAATTCGCGCGACACGTCTGAATCAGGTTCTAACAAGAAAGAGAGAAAGAGAGGAGCTCGTCGCTTCTACGATTCCTCCCCCCTCCCCTCGTCATTTAATCGGTCTAACAGAAATTTATCTTGTTGTTATATCCGCGACTGCGATAATCGTGGATTAGTTTGTTTTGCTGCAATCAACAGCAACGGTCGCGCAGACTTATTTCGTCACGATACAAAGTCCAACGTACCTAACTTTTCACGTCAGGATAAATATTTTTGTTTTCGCATCTCCCGAATCTTTATATTAAATGATGAAACGCCTCGTATCTTCAATAGAGTTTTCGACCTTCATTCTGAATTCATAGCTCTCTCTCTCTCTCTCTCTCTCTCTCTCTCTCTCTCTCTCTCTCTCTCTCTCTCTCTCTCTCTTTCTCTTCGCGTCATTCTTTCACGTTCGGCCACTACTCGCGAGATGCAAGATGCGAAAGGACGAAAGGGAGAGATAGAAACCTGGAACGCGCGCGCGCGGTAGTTCTGGAATGGTGCAGGGCTACCCGCAGAGCACGCTACTTGCTGTGGCAGCTTCGCGAGCGAAAGACAAAGGAG